TCTCCCTTGGCCTTCAGCCTGGAGAAGATCCGCTCAAATTCTGCTGCTGATGAATATGTAGCAGAGCTTTTGGGTCTTGCTCCTCCCACCGGCACTGAAGCAATTTGCTGAGTAGATTCTTCAATTTCTTTTTCTTTTTCTTTTTTCTGTTGTTCTTTTTCTTTACGTTTATGTGCTGCACGGGTCATTCTCTGTTCTTTAACCTCTGGTTGAGACATCCATACCACCTGTCCAGCAGTCATCATCCCTGTACCTTCAGATTTCTGTTCCATCTCTTTGTCACTCAAGACTTTATGCATCATGGGCAAAGGAGAGCCTGCTCCCAGGACCGTTTTATAAAATTCCTTAGCTTTAGCAACTGTATTAAGTCTATAACGTGTCCCCGCATGGCTCAAAACAATGCCCATCGGAATCTCCCATCTAAATGGCATTTGTCTTGCTTTAAGTTCATTTACTAAAAAAGCAAAATCTTTTCTGCTTCTTAAAATTTTAGGTGGAATTTCCTTTAAAATAATAATATCTTGGGCAGCAATCTGAAATCTTTTATTATAAAAAGTTTGTAGAATCTGATTTCGCAAAGACTTCTTAGCAAAATATATCACCACATCTCTAGGCAAATTCCTCTGTTTTGCAATCCAAGAATTAACTCTATAAATTCTTTCCACATCCCCACGTAACTCTTCTTTATCAATATTCAAAATAACAGCCAAGTCATTAATCACCATTTCCATCAAATCTTGAGTTTTATCTTCTTTCAGACCCCTTATTCTCAAAGCATATTCCATCTGTCTATACTGGAACATAAGAATATCATCTTGTGAAGTCTCCACTTTTTTCTCCATATCTTGAAATTTATAATCCAAAAGTTCAACTGTTTCTTCAATTTCCTCTACTCTGGAGTCCAGCTTCACAACCACTGAGGCCATTCCAGATAGAGCTAGAAGTATATCATCCCTCAAAATAGCATTATTCTGTTCTAAAAGCTCCTTCATCTCTTTCTTCATTTCCTCCTTAGTTTCAGATTTATTCTGGTCCAAAAGTTGTTTCATTTCCTCCCTAAACTGTGAGACAGCACTTACCATTATTTCTTTAATGTCTTGTGCTGATGTGCCAGATGGGGGAGGTGAAGGTGGAGTGGATTTAGGTTGCTGCACTGAGGGTATTATTTTAAGTTGTTGTTGCACAATAGAAGTAGCAGGAGAAGAAGTTACTTTAGAAGCTGCAGTAGCTGGTTGTCGTTTTGAAGCCATTTTAATTTATCTTCCTTTCTTCTTAAAAATACCGATAAAAATAAGTAATCCAAAAAAAAATTAAAAATAAGATAAAATAAAATAAAATAAGATCAATCTAAAAGTCCCCAAGAATAAAAAAGTAAAAAAAGTAAAAAAAAAGCAGTATTAAACAACAATTCAGCCGATCCGTCTTTTAAAGGAAAAAAAACTTTCAAAACGCCATTTTACTTTCACTCTCACTTTTCCGCCCGAAAAAAAAAGAGAAAGCTCAAAAAAATAAAAAAAAATCAGCAGATACTAAATAAACTAAATAAACTAAAAAAAAATAAAATAAAGCTAAACTATAAATAAAATCCTTTAAACAGTTCTGTCCGGTTTAAGATTACTCACGGTTTCTTTAAGTACGGAGATGGTAGCGGCGTCTCGCTTTGTTTCCGAAGAAACAAAGACAGCTGAGAGGCGGAGAAGGCAATGAACTCCGAGGGAACCCTCTTTCTACCCCCCTAAAAATAAAAATCCAGGGAGAGTTAAGAGGTTCTACCTCTATTCATGCGATCTCTACCCCTTCCCTTCGCCCGGGAAGGGGATTGCGAGCCGCGGGCCAGCTGATAAACGCTGTGCTCCGCGGATCTGACACCTTCTCAGGAGGACGGCTACAAAGTAGCCGCCATCTCCACCGCTTTAACCACCGGAAGTCTATCTACTGGATTATTATTATTCCAATTTGTTCTTGTTATTGGAAATTTAGCTTCCCCGTTAGGCGGTGGATTATTCCCTCCCTGAGGATGTTCCCTGTCCCATATCTTCATTGCTGCCATACAAATGAGTTGTCTTTCTTCAGCAGAGAACAAGGTATTCAAAATAGCCATAATTTCATTCCACGTCTAAGTATTTGGCCCTAATAAATTCTCTAGCTGTTCTGCTGTTTCTAAAGGATCGTCTATCAGGTTTTTAAGTTCCTTCTTAAAGGCCTGTACCTCAGGTGCCCAAAGGGGTTCTTGTACAAAACTAATTATGGGCATCTCCTGAGCGTCAATTCCATTGGGCACCTCCCTTAAAGGGAACAAGGTCGGGTCCTCCATTTCCTTGTCTTTAGGGAAGGGGAAATTTTCAGTGTCCTTTTTGCACTGTTCTAATTCCCTTCTGAGATTTTTATATTTCTTTATTCTTCTTTTTAGTAATTGCCAAAGGGGGTGGACCTTGTGGGATGTTTTGAACTTCCGGAACAAGTCCAGGGTTATATGGAGGAGGAAAATATTGGTATTGCCTATCTTCCTTGTCCTCTTCTTCTTCCTCTTGGTTCAAATAAACTGTAGTATACACCGGATCTGCTGGTTCTACCCACTTATCAGGGGTTCAAATTAAGGCATAATCCAGTTCATTGTCTAAGGACTTGCATGATTTTTGTTTAACATATTCATACAAGTATTGGCACGCAAAATAGTAGTTCCCATATGCGGCCATTCTATTCTCTCATCTTCCCACCAAATAAAACAACACAAATTTACCATATCTTCTTTGGTCAGATTCAACTTAATAATGATCTTACTATAGGGTTTTTTTCCCCAATTGGCCAGCAGGATTCCTAATGGACTTCCCGGATCAATGTTCAATTTGGGGTTCTTTCTTATTTTCTTTACACATTTCTTCTTTTGGGATCCTCCTGAATTACCCATACTGGTTTACCGTACTGTTCTTTTATCCTTACCAGTCTAATGAGACCACGATTAGTTTCACTAAGCAGCTTTCTCTTTTTCCCCACCAATCTCCTCGCGGAGGTATGGAAATCAGGTACTCAAGGTCCGCACTCACTTCGCCTTGCAACCCTGTGGTTCTTGGGACGTCTCAAGCACTCCTCTCACAGATCTCAGATTCACACAGTCCTACCCAGTCTTCCACCCGACTGCCTAGGCAGTTATTTCCTCTGGTTTACCCCAGATAACTCAAATATGTTCGTGCACGAAGTTGCCCAGTCACTGAGACCGGTAACTCACTGATCCTTCCTTCCGTCGTTTTCCTAGCAACCTCTATTTGGGTCCGTGGAATCTGAGAGTCGATTCCAGACCTCGGTCCCTGGAGTTCGAGATCAAACCGTCGAACTCAACGGGGCATGCCTTCCGATATTGCCTCCAGGTTCTCCGGGATCCGGAAATGAGTGTTCCTCTAGCCCCACGTTGGGCGCCAAAACTGTTGCGCATGAATTTAAAAACAAATTAAATCCACTAATTGGGTTGCAAAGAAAACAAAATTTATTACTAACAAAGAAAAGAAAGCGGTTTACAAAGCGTGGTGGATCCAAGTCAAAACTTCACGCAGGAAGTTCTCAAGCAACAGAGCACACTTGAGCCATGTTGAGCAGTCATTTTTATACATCCTATCGCGACGCCCCATTTCCCTTCTCCTTTGGTCCCATTGGAAAGGCCTGCAGAGGTCACAATCTATCAGAAGCGGAATACATTATCTCTGTCCTTGTCTGCTCAGGTTTCCTCAACATCTGACATACTACGATATATGGGCATGTTGTGGTTCTGGTAGAAATTCACAGTTTATTCTTTGGCTTTGGTGCACTCATCCTGTTTATTTTTAAAACATCCTTTTCCCTTGAACTGTTTCCCTCTGTTGTAAAATTAGAAAATTAATAAAATATTTATATAAAAATAAATCAATAAAATACTATGATGTTGATGTTCTTTCAAGAAGAAACCTAACCCCAGTAAATGTATCATGTAGCCAATATCATCTAGGAAATTATATTTCCAAGTAAGTAATTGAAATATTATCATTAAAACAAGAATTAGATAAATTAGATTGTATTGCAGTAGTGTCCTTCCTTAGATATAAGCTCTTCTAGCAGTTTACTTAAGTAATTGAATTAAGATAAATGTTGGCCTGTGCAGTTCATAAATCTTTTAGCTGGATCAGCACAAATGCCAATTTTTTAGCCCTTCACAGCACTTGCTCAACTTTTTTAAAGGGCCCAAACTTGTCCATAACTGCCAATATAATATAATGTATAAAGTTACATGACTGGCATATAAAACAACTTCATAATTCTATTGTAATCTATAAAATCTTCTCTTTCTCTTTTACAGTTTGAGGTTACTGAATCTAAGTGATGATATTTAGACAGTTTCAATCTGAATCTAGGCATCTGTAGTTGTGTCTGTAGCACAGGAATGTGATTTGCATCATGTAACTTAATCTGGAGAGTAGTTTTAAATATCCTTTTTTTCCATTCTCTACTACCCTTAATATATATGCATTGTTTTAATCTGTCAAAATTATTTATTCTAATTTTCATCTCCCTTATATTTTGATGTATAAAGGGGAAGAACCATAGTTTATGACATAATGTGAATGGTAGGTCTGATTACTGGGACTTCTTTAACCATCCATTGCAAAAGCAAATCATATTCAGAGGATAAATGAATTAGTTGTTATAAGCAGATTGTTATCTTTTAAATATTTGCTTATAATATTGGCATAAAAGCATTGCCCCACATCCATTAAAATTGTCAAAGTTCTATTGCAATGTTATGTATTAGATCTCCTGCTAAATACGGTCTGAACAAGCATTGATCATTCTGGCTAGAAATTCTGGGATTAGCAGCCCCAGGCATCTTAGACTTAGAAGGACTCAGATTGGATAAAGCTGGCTCTGTTCTGAATAACATTTTTATCTATCTGTCTGTCTGTCTGTTTATCTTTGTGTGTGTGTGTGTGTGTGTGTGTGTGTGTGTGTATCTTTTTTGATTCTATATTGTGCAGGCAGCAGAGAATAACTGAATGGAAAGCATCTCAAGCAAAGAATAAATTTGGACAAGTTTTGGAGATTTCAGGACAGGATTATATTCAGGAAATTACAAAAGCTGGCAAAAACATCTGGGTGATACTGCATCTTTACAAGCAAGGGTAAGCAAGCTTTTCAAGACTTTTTGTCTTCATGGATAATTTTTCTCTAATAGCTCTTGTCATTGTGCTACAGCATGGCAATTGTGCTGCCATTTGCTATTCAAGGACAGCTATTAAAACTACAATTTCCCCTTTTTATGCCTAATTCAGTTGCAAGTCAAAGAGGTTGCAACAGTTTTTCACTTATCATTGTAATTGTCTTAACCAGGTAGAAATGAGGATGGTTTCCTATTGATATGAGAGATCCTGTTAAGTTAGAGAAGGCTTGTCAATTTTCACCTCTTTCTTTTTATCACCTTCAGTATACAAGTAATCCTCAACTTACAACCATTCATACAGTGACTATTCTAAGTTACGGTGGCATTGAAAAAAGTAACTTACAGCCAGTCCTCACATTATCCCTATCACAGTGTCCCTTGGTCACGTGATCAAAATTACTGCCATGTATTTATAATGGCAAAAAGGTTGCAAAATCGGGTATGACTCACTTAACCACCTTGCTTAGCAACAGAAATTCTGGTCTCAATTGTGGTTGTAAGCTGAGGACTACTTTAATAGGCAGTCTAGTGAAACTTGTAGATACCCAGTTGTGTTTGTAAATAGTAACTACAAATCATGAGTATTGCCCATTATGGACATTTGTTTTCTTTTGAATATGGGTCTGTTTTCCTTTCTTCAAATTTAGTATTCCTCTCTGTGCCTTGATAAACCAACACTTAAGTGGACTTGCCAAGAAGTTCCAGGATGTCAAGTTTGTCAAAGCTATTTCTACAACTTGCATACCCAACTATCCTGATAGAAACCTCCCCTCAATCTTTGTCTACCTGGAAGGTGACATCAAGGCCCAGTTTATTGGGCCACTGGTATTTGGAGGCATGAATTTGACAAGAGATGGTGAGTGTCTCTTTTGCAATAAATAGAATATTTTTCTGCACAGAAAATTGGTTGAGGTAGTCTGCCACTAAATTTCAGTGTATTCTTACTTTCCTTCCTTAAATAATCTCCATATCAAAAAAGTTAAGGATGCAAAAAGAAATCACTTAAGTAAAAGAGGTTTTAGTTTTTTGAGATGGTGGTTCTCTTTTTCTTCTGCTTTTACCATTTACAGTATATGTATTCCTACATTTCCTATCAATTGAAACTGTGCTGAATTAGTATGGATAAATGCTGTGCTATTTTTAAAATTGATTGATTTAAATCTTTAACAAAAGATGTTTAGCTTCCTTTTTTCAGGAGTTGAGATTGCATCAGCATAGTAGAAAAGGCTTGTTATATTTGGTACATCTTGGCAATTGTGGCATTGTGTATGATGCATATAACCAATGCTTTTTTTGTTGGAGAAAAACTATTAACATCAGTCCATTTCTAATACATGTTAGACAAACTATTATGCAAGCAAAATGAACATACTTTTCTAACACAGAAATAAGAGGTTGCACTTCCCCTTAATGTTATCTACTTCATTTGGTTCTCTTATCCATTCCTCCCCCCCCCAGGTCTTTAGTCACTTTTATCATTACATCTGTAGAACTAATGTCAGTAGAAAATTCAGATCATGCTAATTTTCCTTTTAAGCTAACATAAATGAGATTGACTGATTAGGTTGCCCACAGAGTTAACAATGTGATATCTGATTAACTTGTACTATTGACTTGCTTCCATTTCTGGGATGTAAGCCAGTGTGAACATGTGCAATAAAAACCTGCTGCTACATGGAAAATGTTTGTTTTGTTGCTGTAAAGAAATAAGCAGGGAATTGGGTGTTTATGTCTTTGAGCTCTACAGAAGATGCCCCCCTCCATTCCAAACAGTAGTAGCAGTTCCAAATAAACTACAAATAAGATAAAGGAGGCGAGATGAAATGTCCATTCTTGGCTAGCTGTAGCATGTCAGTTAATGTCCTGAAGGCTGCTTCAAGAAGTTTGTGTAGAACTTAGCATTATAGTAAAAGTGGAAAAGAAAACAACAGATGGTATTGTTCAGAGAAAAGGAACATGGTGATACTTTCTTCTTTCCAACTTTGAAAGGCATCCACAATGTGTCATTTTCCCCTGTTGTTTCTCTCTTACATTTAGAATTAGAATGGAAAATTTCTGAATCAGGTGCCATTAAGACAGACCTGGAAGAGAACCCCAGGAAACAAATTCAAGACCAGCTGATGACGTCCATCAAGTGCTCTGTTACAACAAAGAGAGAAGAAAGTGACTCAGAGGAGGATTAAGACCCCGCGTGCAGTTCTTAGCTGTGCCCAATTACTCAGAATTACTCTTCAATGAAACCAGAGGATTTATTGCTATAAAATAATGTGTTTTATTTCAGCCTAACGAATATCAGTGGTAAAATTCTTTCTTGAAAAAGAAACTTCATTATTCATACAGGAATAAAGTAAAAGCAATTTTTAAAGTTGACATACCATTGAAGTCATTTGTGATGGATATTTACTAACAAATGTGGTATCTGCTTGTACTTTTATCATTAACTGTAGTATACTCTCCCCTCTGCTCCAGTGTCACTTTAGGGCTGGATAAAAATTGTATGATACATTTTGGAAGAGCTATATTGATGACTAGGCCTATATTGATCAGATTAACCTGACCTGTTGTAGGTTAATTTTAACACAAAGTTATCTAAATCAGTGTGTTTATCTGCATATTTATTTAAAAATCTTGAAATTAGATCAAGTACAGGTAGCCCTCAACTTACAACTATTCATTCAGTTACTGTTTGGCACTGAAAAAAGTGACTTATGACCAGTTTTCACATGACCATTTGAGCATCCCCATGGTCAGGTGATCAAAATTTGGGCCCTTGACAACTGGCATGTATTTATGACAGCTGCACTGTCCCAGGGTCAGGTAATCAATATTTGTAAAGTTCCCAGCTAGCTTCTGACAAAGTAAATGGGAGAAGCCAGATTCACTTTAACAACTGCCTTATGGAAATTTTGTGGTTGTAAGTAGAGAACTATCTGTAAAGGAAATATAGAATAGTTTGAAAAATGAGTTTGTTCTTCCTCTTCTGTATACATGAGTTAAACTTAACATATAACAATTGTAACTATACTTGATGAGTCATTAAAAACGCAATGACTTTATACTGTAGAATACATTATCTCTTCAGGATATTTAATAATGGTCCAAAGAAATGTGCATTAAACATTGGCTTGGATAATTTCAGACCAGAAGTGAAGTGTTTGATAATATGAATATTCACTGTTGTGCTGTTGTAAACAATCTTCCATTTACATTTTCTATAAATTTTAAGCATAAAATGTTTTGTTTACTAGTAAAATAAGCATATTGATATGTTTAAATATTGTCTCCTATGCTGAAAGAACTTACCTGCAGTTAGTATAGAAAAAAAAACCCAGGGGAGACATGATAGCAGTGTTCCAATATTTGAAGGGCTGCCACAAAGAAGAGCTGGGGGGGGGGTGTCAAGCTATTCTCCAAAGCACCTGAAGACAAGACAAGAAACAATGGATGGAATCTAATTAAAGAGAGATCCAACCTAAAACTATGGAGAAATTTTCTGACAGAACAATCAACCAGTGAACAGCTTGCCTTTAGCAGTTGTAAGTGCTCCGTCACTGGAGGCTTTTAAGAGGAGACTGAACAGCCATCTGTCTGAAAGGATGTAGGTCTCCTGCTTGAGCAGGGGGTTGGGTTAGAATACCTCCAAGGTCCCTTCTATGTTCTAAACCTCGGTCACTAAACCTTAGTGGCTAATAACATACATATTGTATTTAAAAGACAGCTTAAATGCATGTGTGCAGTTTACATCATTTTTCATTTTTTCTTGAATTTGGATTGCTAAATGCTTATCTGGGCTAATTAAGAGATTTTGTAATTCCTTAAATTCCAAGTAACAAGAATTTAGTTCTTTTTGTGGCAAATTCCATAACAAAGATATAACCAAGATTGCACAAATATCTTTGTAAAAGAGATGAGGTTCAGTCCTCTCTGATCTCAAATGGACAGTTAGATAGAGCAAAACAATTAAATTGAACAACGTTATTTCAGCCCTATCACGTAGTGGCAGCAAGTATGTTATTGGGAATCCCTGTGTAGGGCTGGTTAGGAATCAGATTTTAACTTACATTCTCAGTCTATATCCCAGACTCATTGCTTAACAAATATTTTGACAACCCATTTTAATTACAGATTCAGAAGAAAAGCTTTAGATTTGGAACAGTTTATTTTATATATAGATTCTGAGTCAAGATCTGAAGGTTGTGGGAGTCTGGAATGGGAGGAATAGGGTTGAACTCAACCTTAGCAACTCCAAATAGATGTAGTCATGATGTCCTGATCGGGAGATTTTCCATCTTTGATTGTAAATGGGATCTAGACAATCCAGTGCATAATTTGGGGATTCCCCTCCCCATGGATCTACAAGTCCTAACTGAACAGTAGGTGGCAGCCATGTATTGGAGGACCTCACGTTCAGATTTGCACAAATTTGTTCACATTCCTGGCTTAGGAAATCCTACCCATTGTCACTCACAACCTGATAACCTCTCATCTGGGTTATTGCAATGTGCTTTCGGGAGTGCATTTCAAGAACACTTGGAAGCTACACTTGGTCCATGTAATACTACTATTACTTCACAAATTGCACTGGTGGCCAATTTTATTTCCAGGTGAATTTAAGCTACAGCTTATTACAATATAACATTCAAGGCACGGCCTGGCTATTTGCTGGACCTATTTCTGATTATCTCTGCTCTTCCATAGGATATAACAACTGCACAATCTAGGTCCCTGTTACTAAGTTATGCCATCTGGTGAGATCTGTTACCCTGAATTAATTATCTGAATCATACCTAGAGCTGTCTGGGGAATTCTGGGAGTTGAAGTCCATGCATCTAAAGTTGTAAGGTTGAGAAGTATATTCTAGAGAGTGACTACTGTATGTAAATTCACTAAATGAATAACAAAACCCGTGTCTTCCAGAAATATTAAACCAAGTTTGCACTGTTTCTTGGTGAGCAGGAATTAAGCCATCTTTGAATTAATTGTGTATTGAGGGCATGTTTTGGATAGAATGAAGACATTTGGACTACAACTGTCTAATCCCCCCAAAGTATTACCCTGAAGGATTTGCAATCAGATTAATTACCTGGCAGTCAGTTAAGTATTTGTACATTCTTGTTTCCTTTCCCAAGTTGCATCTAACTACAGCATCAAGGTATCTGCATACAAGGGGGCAAATTAAAACATGTGTTGCAATTTCATGACCCAAACTCTATTTTTTGTTTGTATTGCGATGTCACATGCAAATACATAAAAAAATCATAATTTCACACAGTGCATCTTTTAACAAAATCTCACCTGATTTCAGATGCCTTCTCATAGCACATATATTCACAGACGACATCTTTCTATTGCAACCTCAGGCCATGAATAAGATAGCCTTATAGGTATATTGGTGTAAAGTAGTATTTCTCCAGCACTGGAGATGGAGAATCCACCAATGGGTTTAGACTATTCCTGCCCAATCAGATCAGGTCAGCCAAAGTTGCCATACCTGTCCTGGACCATAGAGATCCCAGTCTTGACTGATCTCGCCCACTGGACAGACGTGCAAGTTTGGCTCTTAGGCAAGTACAGTCTCCATTGGTGGATTTCCCTTTTTCCAGTAGCTGAGAGATTGTTGTGAGTTAATTGGATTTATCCCTTCTCAAATTAGATCAACTTACCAAATTCTAAATTCTTCCACAGAAATTAGAGATAGTTCAATTTCTCCACTCGGGATATCAAGTCCTTGCTAAGGAAGGGGCTCCTTCCTTCCCCCACATCCCCCCATCACTCCAAAGAGGGGATCAAGACCCTTGATTAATGAACGGTTTGTGACTAACAGCTGTTAGTCCTGCCAGCTGAGGAGCACGTTCGTGCAAGTGGAGCTTGCAGCTGCAGCTCCGCTGAAGAGTTCAGACTCAGGAAACTTTAAACTCTTAACTTACTCAGCGGCTGCTTTGTGGGCCGTTCCGGACCCGCAAAGCAATTTTGGAAGGGTAGTGATCGTCGGATCATCGGTGAAGAGGGGTGCGTGCGCAGAGAGCCGCACGGATCAGCCGCGTGGATCAGCTGACAGGCGGCTGCTGGTGAGTCAGAAACCAGGGCCGCTTTCGATTTCTTCTTCAAACAGCTAGCTTATATGGGGTGTCGGGGTGATTCTCCATCCGGATCAGAGCATGCATCGCCGGGGCATATCAGGCGGAGGCATTGCTGATTCCCAGATGGGTTACAGCACACTCCACATGGAGTGCAGCCACTTCTGCGGCATGGGCCAGTCAAGCTTCCATTGAAGAAGTTTGCAGAGCGGCCACATGGGCTTCGCCATCTCCTTTCATTCGTCACTATAAAATCGATAGATTCTCCTCTGCAGAGGCCTCCTTTGGTAGGAGGGTTCTTCAGCAGGTTGTACATCAAAGTACCACACAGGACTAGCCTATTTCCCACCCTCAGGGACAGTAGGCTTTGGTATGTCCCATTGGTGGATTCTCCATCTCCAGTGCTGGAGAAGGGGCGTTGTCTTACCTGAACGCCTTTTCTCAGCATGGAGATGGAGAATCCACACCCACCCTCATAGGTCATATAGGCCTAGGGTTAGTTAGTTTGTGAGCCACAACATCTTGCTGTCAGTCAATGGCTTCGCTCACGTCAAGACTGGGATCTCTATGGTCCAGGACGGGCGTGGCAACTTTGGCTGACCTGATCTGATTGGGCAGGAATACAGTTTAAACCCATTGGTGGATTCTCCATCTCCGTGCTGAGAAAAGGCGTTCAGGTAAGACAACGCCCCTTCTCCCTTTATTCTAGCATAGTCCTGAAGCAGACTCAAGATATAAAAAATCTGTTTGTATATTCACACATTATCTTGGAAGGAAGACAGTTTTGTGAGGACCAGGAATAAAAGCAGGAGGGGAATCATATATTGTCCACTCATAAGTGAGGAAATGTCCAAAGAAGTCTTATCCTCTATTTCTATTTAATATATAATATATCATTGTTAGATAAAAATGCAGATTCAGTTTTGGCATGAACGGGACCCTTGAGTTTAAGCACTGCTTTGTTATTTATCCTGATGTCTCCCTGTTGTTTTCATAGGAGCTACTCTTTCAACACAGGTGCACCGCCTGAAAGATAAGCTACTGGTGGGAAATATGAAAGAACTCAGCCCAAGCAATATAGAACAGAGTTCCAGTTGCTCTAGTGCTAATTATACTGTCATTTCTCCTCCTTTCATCTGGCTTACTGGACGAATTGCAAAAAGACAGAGAAGAGATGAGCAGACAATCAAAACAGCCCATAGTCATCTTGAACATATTTTCTATTCAAATCAGAAGAGTTGAAAGACAGGTTGCTCATAATTAAGATTAGCGTATTAATGTTATTTTATCCTCCCATCAGGTTCTGCAGAGAGGACATGTTATGGCTCCCATTGATTAAGGACTGTCATTTGATAGGACCTAGAAGAAGAACAATTTCTAACACAATGCCCACCCTTTGGAGTATTACCTTCATCCTGAAGGTTAGATTGGTCCTGCTTGCCTTTTGAAAGGCTCTACGGACATGGCTCTGTCAATGGGCCTGGAGATCTAGTTATGATTTGGAGCCTAATACATCATTAAACTGACACGATAACTTCTGCCATCATCATAAATATATGCTGGTTGCTATGTGCCCAAATTTTGATCATGTGACCACGGAGATGCTGCAATAGTTGTAAGTGCAAGGATCAATCATAAGTCACATTTTAATGCCATTGTAACTTTGAATGGTTGCTAAATTAATGGTTGTATGTCAAGGACTATGTGTATTGGTTGTGTTTTTTGACTGTTGTTAATTAAGTCTGCTGCTCAGAGACACAAATGTGAGATGGGTATCTCTACAGAATGAATAGAAAACAAAAACCATTTCTGTCCAAAGCTATCATGATTACATCATTGTCTTTTCTATAGCACGCTAGGCCAGGCATGTCATACTGCCGGCCCCTGGGCCGGATGCATCACTCCGAAACCATGCCCACCTCATTGCCGGCAATGGGAAAGAAGTTGCGATACGTTGTGCGACATCACGTGACATCACGAGTTTGACATGCCTGCCCTAGGCCATTGAAATAAAAAACTTTAAAATTCAGCCCTGGCTGTTTAATGATGTCAATTTATGAT